TTAAACTACTTTGGGTTGCATTTATTGACCATCTTGTACCAATATTTAGCCAAAAGAAGTTTGTAATAACAATTGCTAGTAACTTTGATTTTCTTAATTTGAAATAGAATGAGGACCTTTAAGTGAGGACCTTAGTGACAGCAGTCTTTGCAAAAAAGTATTAAATAAAAATGATCTTATTCTTACCCAATATATAAATATTCTTACTTTTTTTCTAATAGCAAATAGCAAGCCTTATAGCAAAAAAAGACACAATAGATTATATCACATTAGACTATATCACAGAATCACCTATTTTAATGATTTGCCACTTGGTTTTGCTATACAGGCTCATTTTGAATGAAGTTGGTCTTCTTAATCTCAAATCTAAATAAAACCTTTCAAAAAAAAAAAATATCTTTAAAACTTTTCAAGAACAAAAACTAGGAAATTTATTGAAATTTTATTTATTTAATAATAACTGTTACATGTACAATGACAATGTAGTGAGTCTAGTTGATCTAGGCTTTAACAGCTAATTTATGTTTAAAATAAGTCCAACTTTGATTTAAGTTGTTTAAGTGTTTTAGAATTTACAATGTTTTGATCTAAGTTATTCCAGCTGTTAATAACATGGTTTGTTAAGAAATAGTACCTCTTTGGATTTTTAGTTAATTGTCTATGAAACCCCATATTGTGACCTCTCGTATTTCAAGCTATTAAATCTGGTGGGTATTCCAATGTTGAATTATCTATTTTTTTACTATTTTTTAAAGTTGGATTAGGTCATTACGTTCGCGTCTTTTTTCAAGAGTTGTTTATTTAAAGTAGGTTAGTCTACTTTCATAGTTTTTTCTCTTGAAGACATTTTATTCGTGTTGCTTTACGTTGTATCAATTCAATTTTTTTTATCTTGTTCTAAGTAAGGATACCACACTGAATTTGCGTAGTCTAGATACAGTCTTACAAAAGAGGTGTACAATAATTTAAATGCGTTTATGTCTAAGTTTTTAAATGAATATTTTATTATTCCTAACATTTTATTAGCTTTACCAGACACATAATTAACTTGACTAGACCATTTTAAGTTGTTTGAAATCATAATTCCTAAATATTTTTCAATTTTGGTTTCTGGTAGCTCAACTCTATTTAACACTGAATTATACATTGTGTATATATGCTTAGTATTTTTGCTACCTATATGCATGCGTTTATATTTGCTGATGTTAAATTTTAATAGCCATAATTGTGACCATGTCATTAATTTGTTTAGATCTGTTTGAGTCTTTTCTATATCAGAAGATGATCTAATTATGTTAATTAGTTTAATATCATCAGCATACATTTTACAGTTTGTTGATAACTCATTCGGTAAGTCGTTTATATAAACAATAAACATAAACAGACCCAAGACAGACCCTTGCGGTACTTCACTTGTAACTGGAGACCAATTTGAAAATTTGTCGTTGCAGACAACACGTTGCACTCTGGTACATACCAAATTTTAAAAGCTATTTTCATATCCAGGAAAATAATATCTACTGGTAAATTATCTTCCATTGCTTAAGTTATTAGACCCATAGATTCTATAAGGTTTGTACAACAGTTTTTTTTTTTAGAAATTTCATGCTGTTCCTTAGTCAAGAGATTGTTATTTTCTAAGTGCGACATAAACGTAGCTTTTAAAATACGTTCCATTACTTTACTTATAACTGAAGTAAGTGATGCTAGTCGATAACTCTATGGTTCCGATTTATCTCCACTTTTAAATAATAGTGTTAGATTAGCATTTAACCACATCAATGGAACTATTCCTGTGTAAAAAAAAAACAAAAACATTGAGATGTAAATTTGTAAAAAGCTTTCTTGAGTTAAAAGAATCTCAGCAATTTTTTATTAATTTAATTATTAGTTTAATCATCATGGTTTTATCAAAAATAAACAACATAGTACAACAAGCTTACCTGAAAGTATGGATAACAAAGTTAGTCAGAGACAAATTTTATTATACATCCTAATCTTAGAAAATAGTTAAAAAAAAAAATGAAGTCCCACTCTTTATATATATGCATAAGCCTATATATATATGCATAAGCCTATATATAAAGCATATATGTATATATATATATATATATATATATATATATATATATATATATATATATATATATATATATATATATATACATACATACATGTATATATATATATGTATATATATATATTTATATATATATATATATATATATATATATATATATATATATTTGTATATATATATATATATATATATATATATATATATATATATATATATATATATATATATATATATATACATATATATATACATATATATATATATATATATATATATACATATATATATATATATATATATATATATATATATATATATATATATATATATATATATATATATATATATATATATATAAATGTTTAAACTTATACATTTTGAAATCAAGATTGTACTCTTTAGAAATGACAAGATATATACTACTATTGTTTATATATATATACATATATATATATATATATGTATATATATATATATATATATATATATATATATATATATATATATATATATATATATATATATATATATATATATATATATTAAACATCTTCGCTTCCAACAAGGCTGCAAGCAATCTCTAATTAGAGTTGGAAGCTATTGGAAGAGAGAA